CTTTTCACACGTATTCACTTTCAAATAAGCTCTAATATATTAAAAGGATAAAACTGTAACCCCCCAAAATTTGACAAGTGATAATGAGACATGGAGAAACTGAATGGGTTAAAAAGCATAAAAATAATGCTCACTGAGGCTTCAAATGAAGAAAGTAAAATAGTATTTCCCTTACATATTAAACTTGTTGCTGGGGATGCTAATCATAGAGACCCTCTGCCTACAACTTTCTGGGTTTTCATCTATTTGTCACTTCAACTAGCAACCCATCAAAGTCAAATACTTAGAAGAATAACTCCAAAAATTAATTAGAGATAATTTCATTTGATTTTAGTGAGTATTCTCCAATCCTTCCAGTACACTTCAATTCATCAAGAAATCAAATATTCAGCAAATGTTATGTATTCCTCAGATCTACCAAGACTAAATGACAGGYATGCAGAGTTCTACACCTAGTACCTCTACCCACTAATATACAACTTTGATCACATCACATCCTTTCTTTAGGTCCTAGTTTATCTATAAAAGACAGACTAGGGTTCTAATGGCTTATAAGATCCTATACCCTGTAATTCTGTTTGACAAAGGATAACTACACTTTCCATCTGAAACCCATTTTAACCCCAATGTTAGAAACAGCACTGACWAGTCCACACACAATTTTTAATGTTACTATATTTTAATAATACTGTTTTAACTCTTGATACCATGAGACATTTGTGAAAACTAGAATTCACAMAMAMAAAAAAAAGTAAATACCACTAATGTGTTGCTTTAGGAAGATACATGTACACATACCCCAAAATAGGGTAAAAACCCTACCTCTGAAAAAAAGCAGAAATAAAGAAGGAAGCAATATATCAGTATGTAGAAAACATCCTTTGGATATAACATAAAGACTGCCAGGGCCATAAAGTTACCAAGGATCTGTATCAATGCTACCTCCTGACAACACAAAATTTTTAAGAATTTGTAAATACAGCAAATATGTTTAAAAAACATTTTAATCCCACCATTCTCTGTTTTAACTTTAAGAATTTATTTCTGTGGAAAAAAACGGATAGCCCAGCTGTTATAAAATAATACTATTAAGAGGAAGCATTATATGGGAATTTCCATGTCCTTGTAGCACTGGCTCAAAAAGCTATACAATGGTGTTGTTCTTGACTATTATTCACCAAATAACATTTTAATTTTAAAGATCCCAAAGACCCCAAGAAGCGAGAAAATCCATACATACAGGTAGTACCCACAAAATGCTAAAATTTATCTAAAATGGTTAAATGTTTTCATTTCTGTGGATAGCTTTTTTTTTTTTTTTTTTGTGCCAGGGAATTAACTCGGGGCACTAGACCACTGAGCCACATTCCCAGCCCCCTATTTTGTATTTTACTTAGAGACAGGGTCTCATGAGTTGCTTAATGCCTTGCCATTGCTGAGGCTGGATTTGAACTCGCAACCCTCCTGTCTCAGCCTCCAAAGCCCTGGGATCACAGGCGTGCGCCATCGCACACAGCCTGTGTATAGCTTTCTAAGTGGTATTACAGAGGAACTGAGGAATAGATTTTTCAGAATTAAAATATGAAACTTTTGACACTGAAGTAGCTTTCTGCTCTGCTCTATAGATCCTTACCATTCCTAAAACAAACTCTTGTCAGAAAAATATATAACCTTTTTACTGATTAGGAAGTTTTAAGATTTTAGCCTGTGAATATACCACTTAAGGATAGCCTGTAAAATTTTCCTCACCAGTTCCTAAATTCACAAAATCTCTTAATAGTTCGAATACATTTTGATCAATAAAATACTTAGAAATCTCAGATGTAAATTAAATGAAATAAAATTTCTCGGTGATCACTCAGAATCCAATCATTCTCATAAATGGAAAGACTGTTATAAAATGGTCTTTACTGAAAAAGACATCCTGTCCTTGAAGGAATGTACCCTTTGTCTTGGTTACTCCATGAACTTTAATACACTAAGTTCCTTCTGCAGCTGAAAAACAACCAGGGTATATGAAGTGGGAGCCTTTTCTATATTCCAAACTGAGGAGCTGATACTCTGCTAAGGACTTAATTTCCTATAACCAAACACCACAATGGTAGATATTAGTCATAACTTGAACTTATTTGAGTAAGGGAATATAACCTCAGATAAAGACCATGTTCTTTTAGTCAAGTGCAGTGGTACATGAATGCAGGAGGCTGAGGWAGAAGGATCACAAGTCTGAGGCCAGCTTAGTGAGGCCCTAAGAAATTTAAATGAGACCCTATCTCAAAATAAAAAATAAAAAGGATGTTTGGCTTGGTGGCGCACACTTGTAATCCCAGCGGCTCGGGAGGCTGAAGCAGGAGGATCCCCCAAGTTCAAAGCCAGCCTCAATAATGGTGAGGCGCTGAGACCCTGTCTCTAAATAAAATACAAAAAAGGGCTGGGGAAGTGGCTCAGTGGTTGAGTGTCCCTGAGTTCAATTCCCAGCATCCCCTCAAAAATGAAAAATAAAATAAAAAGGGCTGGAGATGTAGCACAGTGATAAAGCACACTGGGTTCAATTCCCAGTACCAGTACCCAAAATATAATACTACTTTGAACCTATTTTAATAACAAAACCACAATAATACCAGTAGTGGTTTCTTACCCTATCCTTCAAATAGGAATAGAACCTGGATAGAAATGCCACAGGGCTTTGAAAAACATAAAGAAGTCTAGTTTTCACCAGTGGAAACATGGTGATTCAGGTCGTATCAAGGAAAGAAACAAAAAACATTTCACTAACCATATCATCAAAGGCAACTTCTAAGACTCATTTTAGGACAGTGGAACTTATAAGATCTGCTGAGTACAGTGGCATACACCTGTAATATCAGCTACTCAGGAGGCAGGACATTGCAAATTCAAGGCCAGTTTGGGCAACTTAGTGAGACCTTGTCTCAAAAAAAAAAAAAAAAAAAGCCAGGCACGGTGGCACAAGTTGATAATGCCAGCAGCACAGGTTTGAAATCAGCCTCAGCAACTTTTTTTTTTGAGACCCTGTCTCAAAATTCTAAAAAAGGGGGTCTGGGGTTGTGGCTCTGAGGTAGAACACTCCCCTAACACAGGTGAGACCCTGGGTTCAATCCTCAATACCACATAAAAGTAAATAAGTAAAATAAGATATTGTGTCCAACTACAACTAAAAAATAAATATTTTAAAAAGCGGGGGGTAGGGGCCACTATGAATGTAGTTCAGTGGTAGAGTATTTGCCCAGCATATGGAAGGCCTTGATTTCAATCCCTAGCACTGATAAAGAGAAAGAAAAAGATCCTACAATTCAATGTTGAAATGAGCAGTAAGAGACATGAAGAAATAGGCAAGAAGAGTTCTAGTCAAGGGTCATTTCAATGTAATGATGTCAGGGCAGTTTCTTACAAGGATAACTGAAGAGCAATGTGATGCTTTCCTAAATGAACACACTGGCATTTAAACATGTGCCTGAATGCTATTCTTTTCAACAAAGTCCACAGGAAACTGCACACTTACATTTAAAATGTTGCCATTGCACAAAAGTTTATGCATTTTTCTAGAATTGCTTTATTCATTCTTCTGAACGTACAGCAGTGGGATGTGGATTGTGTCCTAACTTTAATTTATGTTTGCTCATGATTGGAAGCAGCTTATACTAAAAACATTTATGCTTATATACATAAAAGAATCATGGCTTCCTTGGACAATGTGACTAAAGGAAACATTTAAATATTTTTGTTTTAAACATGCATGCACATATGTGCACACACACACAAAAATACATATACATATATACACCTTATAACTCATACTCGGGGAAGAGGGGAGTCAAACTCCATATCTTAAACTATCATTTGCCCACTTTTCATCCCCAATGTTTCTGACAGCACAGGTAACTTCAATTATGGCTCTGTACTGCTCCTTTATCACTAGAAGTGGATGGGCTTAGTGATGGCCCTAGAGATTGACAGAGTACATAAACTTGACCCCTCATATTATACAGCTGCCCCAACACACAAGAGCAACTTTTCAATCCCATATTCTTACTCCACAGAACCTCTCAAAAGGCATCACAATGGAAATCAAGTACATGTAAGAGTACCCTTCGGTCTTCTTGATCTTTCACTAAATGACATGTACATACATTAAATAATCTGGCAAAAATGAGTACCCATCAGAGTCTAACTATTACTTTTTAGTATACCCTATAAAACATTATCAAACCTCACAATCAGTTACCTGAAGGAAAATTTACCTATTTCTTGATGCTTACTAAGATCATGCTTAATCTGAGAGATAACAAAAGACATGTCACCAAACTGCTAAACCGGACATTAGGACAGTTTTTGTTCCAATTCTCATTTTAGTGATTAGAACTGCAGTCTTCTGTTGCTCCAAATTTTACTTTTACTAGCTGATAATAAACAAGGGCTAACTGGCTTCCTAATAAGATTCCCCCCACCCCCGCACTAATGGCTAACTATCCATTCCACCTGAAACTTTATTACCAAAGAAGAAGAAATAAGTGATAATTCACTGAAGGAGTCTCCTTTTATTTGGACTTCAAAGTTATCTCTGAAGCCACTCTAGTTTTTAACAACTTTTTTTTCTGGAATAACTCAGAACCAAAAGTAACAAACACAAAAATCACAGAGCCTTTGGATTGATGGAAATCTCCCATTAAAAGACTTTCTTTCCTTTGAATACCTATTTATTTTGGGACAAATGGAACCATTTTGGAATTAGTTTTGGGAATCCCTAATTTATACTTCAGAACAAGGATGTTCCTGAGCTAACATGYTCAGATTTGAGATTAGTCTGCATATTTTCTCAAAAGTTCACAGGGAAATGGGGTGGGAGGAGGAAAGGAGTGACATCCGACAAAAGATACATAAAATAGTTTGCACTGCTCATTCTAGAAGGTGGCAAGAGCAGCTTATGTCCTTTTGACCTATGGAAAAAAAAATATTTGCAATGCCACTCGTAAGACACTCACCTTGAGAATTTTTACAACCACTCTTTCATTGTTGGTGATGTTGATGGCCTCAAATACTTCACTATACTTSCCACGACCAAGTTTTCGAACAAGTTGGTAATCATCTTGATTACTGTGGAAGGCAAGAGATACAAATAAATGCCAGGATTTGGGATTAACTAACCCTATGCCCACTGTACACCCAGTCTAAATGTTTCCACTAATCAAACATTTGGAAGTGTCCATATATCATGCCACAATTCATTCCCTAAATGAAAGCCACGGCATAAACCTGGCTCCCTTCATTCTGCAGAGCTCCCAACCTAACTGACCCTCCCAAGGAGGAGATGGGAGCAGGAAGACAGCACTGAGCCAATCTAGGGGGTCAAGTAAAGCATCCACCTGGAGGCCCAGAGAGTGCCCGCTCTTTCCGTGGCTCCACCAGCACCTGCCTATTCCACATCCTTAAGGCAGACAGTGAATCTGGACGTCTTTAAAAATTTTCCTCCCACCCAGCCTCATTTCAGAAAACTAAAAAGGCAGCGAATTTTAATAGCTCAAGGGGACAGCTGTTGACTTCCCACCCCAATAGAAACCCAAAAGTGTGAGGAGGAGGAAGAACKGCTCCCTCACTCCCAGGGTCTGCTCCCTGGACCCTACACTTCTCCTCGACCCCCGCACCCCCACAAAGCAAAAAAAAAAAACAGCAGCAGCAGCATTCTCTGGGGACGAGCGGTGTGCAAAGCCGGGATACAGGGGTGGGGAGGTGGGCAGGGAAGAGGAAGAGGACATGTGCGAGAGGGGGGCCTGTGCCTCCCACCCCAGACCCGAGGCGGCGCCGGCCCACCGAGGAGCCGGCGGAGAGGCGGATCCCCCGGGTTCGAGTGCGGTTTGCGCTGGGGGGCGGGGGGGGGGCGGCGGCTTTACCCCCAGCTCGGGACGTGAGCTTCGTAGTCCCAGTACTCGCGGCTCCTCAGGCTGTTCACCTCGGCGTAGACCCGGGCCCTACTGCCCGCGGCCGGGCCGGGCATGGCGGGCGGGACCGGGGGGCGCCGCGGGGCGCAGAGGGCGGCGGCGCGGCGGGGGGCGCGGGGCGGCGGGCGCAA